CCCGTAGGGACTCGGGAGAGGTGAAGGTCGAGAGCCATGCGTCCTCTGAAACACGAACCCACCAAGCCACACTGCTTCTTGACACACTGCTCGCTTAACCCAGAAGCCAGCTGCACCAATGTGTCGGAGGAAACACTGTACAGCTGGTGACCGAAGTCAGCGTGCATGTGCCCGGCTGCCACAAGGAGTCGCTAGAGCGCGAATGGACAAGGACATCCCAGCCGGCCAAGCCCTCCCCTAACCCGGACGACACTGGGCCAATTGTGCGCCGCCTCATGGGTCTCCCGGTCATGGCCGGCTGCGACACAGCCCGGGATCAAACCCGGATCTGTAGTGACGCCTCTAGCACTGCGATGCAGTGCCTTAGACCGCTGTGCCACTCGGGAGGCCCCCAACAAATATTTTTAAAATATTTTGTATGATCTCTTATACACTATTCTAGGCCCAGCTTTTGGAACTTTGGCTTTCCTGGATATAGCCACTATATTGTAATCACTGCATCCAATGGGTACGGATACAGCTTTAGAACAAAGTTCTACAGTATTAGTAAAAATGTGATCGATACATGTGGATGATCTTGTTCCTGTAGTGTTTGTAAACACCCTGGTAGGTTGATTAATAATCTGAACCAGATTGCAGGCACTGGTTACAGTGAGAAGCTTCCTCTTGAGCGGACAGCTTGATGAAAACCAGTCAATATTCAGGTCCCCAAGAAAGTAGACCTTTCTGTTTACATCACATACACTATCAAGCATTTCACACATGTTATTTAGATACTGACTGTTAGCTCTTGGTGGCCTATAGCAAACCCCAAAAGAAAAGGCTTTAGATGTGCCAAGTGAACCTGCAACCACAACACTTCAATAACACTTGACATAAGATCTTCTCTAAGAATTACAGGGATATGGCTCTGAATATATACAGCAACACCTCCCCCATAAGCATATTCTATAGATGTTATATCCTTTTATTGCTACTGCTGTATCATCAAATGAATTATCTAAGCAAGTCTCAGAAATGGCTAATATATGAATGTTATCTGATGTTAGCAAGTTATTGATTTCATGAACCTTATTTCTAAGGCTACATATATTAATATGGGCTATTTTCATCCATTTCCTGGGTAGCTTATCAGAGATAGACATAATATGGAAAAGAGCTAACAAAGCAAGAGAAAAAAATCTACATTCAGCAGTCCATTAATCAATTGGTGTGTGTGCTGCGAGGTTGAAGCTACGAACCCATAGGCTTGGCTCTCTCATCCCTTCCAGGCTTCTGGGAGGGAGGGTGGACAATGAGCCTGTCATAGCAGATGTAAGCAATGTCCCCAGCTTTCATGGCTGGGATAAGTTCTTTCCTCTTCTGGCGCACAGCTTCAGGATAGTCCTTGTTGAGGAAGATACACACGTTCCTCTCAAATTCTTGTCTCTTTCCAGAACAGCTACCTTGTCCTTGAACCTCAGGAACTTGACCACTATCGGCCTGAGCCTGTCACCTGGGCAGTGGTGGGTTTTCCAGTCCTGTGGTTCATCTTCAATTTCTCAGAGATCATTTCCCTCACTTTGTCCTCAGACTCTGTCCAGGTCTCATGTGGAGATTCTGCAATTCCGTCCACAACCATGTTGTTCCACCTCGATTGTCCCTCGAGATATCGTGCATTCACACACAGAACTGATGTCCTCTCTCAATGACTTACAGATTGCTGTCATCTTGCCGTTCTCCTGTTTCAACTCATCGAGCTGACCCTGGGAGAACTGCAAGCTGTTCCTCAGGTCCTGGACCTCTCTGGTCAGGCCGTCCATTCTTTTATTAGTTGAATCCACCAGTATTTGGACAAAACACTTGAAGCTATTTTCTTGTTGTTGTAACAACTGCTTGTAGTATTCTTTTGGTTCGTTTAAAAGATCCTTCACCTTTGATGGAGAGACACCACTATTGGTTTAAACAGGCAGCCCAATTCTGATATTTATTCCACTAAATTGGTCTTTTGACCAATCACATCAGATCTTTTCACATCAGATCTTTTTCAGAGCTGATCTGATTGGTCAAAAGAGCAATGTGAAAAAAAGATCAGACGTCAGCTGTGTAAAAGCAGCCTCTGCATGTCTGCATAAAGTTGACAGATAATAATAGTTCCAGCTGTGCCTGTGTGGTGACATAACTGCTAAAAAGTGACCATGTCCACTAAACTAGTACAGGTGCTGGAAACAGCACTGCAGAAAACAAACAAAAACATGGCACCTTGCCAAGGCAGAGGGAGTTAAGTACACCCAAGATAATGTCAGTTGGTGACAATGTTCAAGGCAAACTAAAGCCTCCAGTGGTTGTAAATTCATAACCAGATCTCAACATTATTTCTCTAATAAACAAATCACTCATATTGTGCTGTACGTTGTTAAATACTAGAACCTACCGGTATGTCTGTTTGTGCGATGGGTAAAAGAATGTCTTACAAAATACATTTCTAAATAATTTTATTCATTTTCATTTCAGTTAGCTAGCATTGTATTGTCCAGACAGAGTAGCAGGGGTGTGACATGAATGAGTGACTGTCGATACAATCAACTCCAGTCACCCAGTCCACCATAGCACTCTGTCTGAGGGGCATGCATTATGACTAACAGTAGCCCATACATACAGGAGTGTCAAACATTAAGATCATTTTTTTAGCCTTACTTATAGAACTCAAAACAGACAAACAAGCAGACTATACATTTCTACAACAATCTGAGCTGTGCTTGCTTCTCTGTGTTCAAGTGAAAGGTTAACATGTCATATCATCATGGTACCCCATTTTGGAAATATAGACAGTTACACATGTGCATTGAAACAAAAAAGATTGTAGAACAAAATACGGACGGTAGGAAAAATATGAGTTGCAATGTAGAAGGAAAACTGTGCAAGGTGAAAAAAACAACTTTTGTTCAGTTGAGGCAAGAAAAATATTGGTTTTATATTGCATTAAAAGATCAGAGGTATGAAGAGATTGAAACAAGTGGCAGTCAGACTAGTGAAATCATTTAAATTCCTCATTAAGGCTTTCTGATAATGTGGTCCTCTGTAGCTCAGTTGGTAGAGTACGGCGCTTGCAACGCCAAGATAGTGGGTTTGATTCCCGGGACCACCCATACATAAAATGTATGCACGCATGACTAAGTCGCTTTGGATAAATGGCATATATTATGATGTGTAGAGCAAGCACAGCTACTAAGAAAACCCTTCTCAACCAAGGAGATTGGGATTGAGTTGTGTGGACTAGATCTAGCCATTACAAAGGGCTACCTACACTCCTCTACCTACTTGGACAGTGAAGGTAAAACTTTGAATTAGTCTCTATACTCCAGCATTTGGGACCAATTATTACTATTTATTTTTTTACATGAGTCGACAGTACAGAATTTTTGTGTGAGTATTTTAATACATACATTTTACCATTTAAAAAGGAATTTACTGTCTCTAGTCCCCCCCCCCCCCATGTGTAACTGTTGCCTCATAAAACATTTCATCTCAAATCCAAAATGCTGGAGTACAGAGCCAAACTAAATGTTTTAGCTTCACTGTACAAATAAATACGTAGGGCAGTGTATACCCTTCCCTAATGGTGACTTTTGAGCTCACACTCAGATTCTAGGTGGTGTTGAGAGCAAAAACAAACTATCTTTTTCTACTGGTCATTCAACAGGTCATTAAAGTGATATTATTCATCTGTTCAGATTTAGGCACCCACAACAACTCATAATCTGGTCATCCAGTAATGACACTTCATTAATGGCACAGTTCAGGGCACACCTAATACAAATCAGATTGCATGAGTTTAAGTTCAAATGTACAATTTAATTTAAAACCACCTGAGAACGTTTTGGTCACTGTCCCGAATGATCTTGTTCTATTGCAATTCTATTATGAATTCTAGTCACTTCCGGTCAAAATTATATGAGTAATGTGACAAAATTAACACTGCTATTGTAAAATGTTAGCTATATCATATGCGGAAAACCATAATGCAGATGCAAATCATTATCCGCTTAAAGACTTTAAACTACAGCATATGCTTAAATTAAACCTATGCTGCTCCAATAAGAAACTCTATATCTGGAAAAGCTAATATACAGTTTATTTCAGCACTTTAATTTGATTTGTATTTAGCAAATACGCTAAATAAAAGATGCACCTGAAAATAAATTCCTTGAGTAGGCATTCATTTGTAATAATTCCATTATTATTGTGACTGAGGTGCATATCCCACAGTCATTCAACTGTGTAGAACTAAAGTCCTAATAACAAATACCAGAAGCCTTTTTTGGCAAAACACCTTCCTTTTTCCAGTTAAAACAAACAGCTGAGAGGACACTGATCTGGACACAGCTTGTGTATTGCTTCAGTGGACAGAGTGGGTCAGTTCAGGAAGGGTTGTCACTATCTGGTCATGCTAGACAGAACAGGAGAGCTTTTTAAACCACCATTGTGATTACCATCACGACACCTAACCCCTAGCATAGGAGCTACACCGGACGCATAACTTTAGCAGAGTGCGATACGCTCCTATTCACTTAAATGAAACCAGGCGTAAGCACGGTAGCTTTTCAAGAGGCTTGCGCTGCTCAATTGTAAAAGATTGACGCGCAGCTCACACCTGAGAACATTAGGAGAAAGTGGCTTGCACTCTGCTCACGCAGGCAAAAAATTACACTTCCAGTGCAGCAGGTTAAAAAAAAAACTACAAAAAACTTCTCCCTAGTGAAGCTCCTATGTAACACTCTCACACTTAATTAAAAACAAGTAGTGTACACTTGTTCATCAATTCTGTCTATATTTATTGCCGCTTCTGTCCTATCTAGGTGACAACCTTCGGGGCAGTGAGTTGTTCAGGAGGAGCTGAGGCCTGAGTCAGACTCTGCACTGCCGTTGTGCTCCTTGGAGGAGGTGTAGGAGGTGCAGACAGGCGCCGCCTGGCAGGGGATGGTGTAGGAGGTGCAGACAGGCGCCGCCTGGCAGGGGATGGTGTAGCAGGAGCACACAAAGCTCTTGAGCGTTTCCTGCAGCGTGTGCTGCTCCTCTACTTTGAAGATGTTCGGCTGCTCGACCGGGTCGTCACAGATCCTGGAGAGAAAGATGGAGAAAGGAGAAAACAGACATCGGTTAATGAGCCAAAGATAAAGACAGAAGAACTACCTCAGGTACACAAGGGAACAAGGAAGTGCGGTTCAAAATACTGTTTTCTGGTATCTGGTTTCTCAGTGTCTACATAACAAAGGGCTAATCAACATGATCGATAGCATGTCAACATAGGCTTAACCTTAACAATAAAAACAAACTCACATTACATGATCAGCTACTGTACAATGTTGTAGCATAAAGCAGAAGAGATGGGATTAGCTTCTAGCAGTAACATTCTTGACAACAACTACAACAATCACCGATAGGCTTTTCTCCAACCGCTCTACACTACATGCACTGATGGAAAAGACCACTACACTTACACCCATCTTTTTCATGCATCTATGCTGATTCTTAATCATTATATATTTCACCCGTCAAGCTATGAAATCCCTGAGAAGTTTAACAGACTGAAATAAATGCACTCAATACTCTGCAAAGAGAAAAAGACAAGCAAGCTGAAGTTAAGCTGCTATCGGTCATGAACTGTAATATTGTGTACACAGGACGATGTCACCAGTTTGGGAACACCCATTCTACAGCTAGCTGGAAGGTGTATTAGTGACCCTGAACTCATGATACTTCCTTGGCCCTAAATAAAGAGCATGCAAATCTGAAGGGTTAAATACTTGCAGGTGTAAACCAGAATGTGCTGTCAATATAATGTTTCCAACAGGCATTCAAAAGAACAGTGCACACACCCATTGAGCAACAACAGAATTCAGCTCAATGTAAATAGGTTCTTACAGCCACTTGCTTGTGTATCAGCCATGCTGCCTGACTACCCGACATTCCAACGAAACAGCTAGTCGCTCTAACGGTGTGCTTTGTACGCCATGCATTTACATAGGCCTGTCTGGAAATGGCCAGTGCTAAAGAAGAGCTGTAAGCAGGAGTAATAAAGCTGAAAAGAAACAGATAAAAGCATGAACATAAGGAGCAACCTTTATCCACTGGGGACGCCTCGTCTCAAAAATGATAGACAGGGCAGTTGACCAATCAATCGTTGCTTTAAACAATCAATATTAAAATTTTGCTACCTACACACTTTTTCATAAAAAGTGCAAACTCTAGGGAGACTATCTCAGGAAATGGGGAACATAGCCTAGTTCTCCACAGTTTGGCAAAATGAGAAGTCAAATGTCTTGCATCATTGTCATGGAACCCTGCTGGTCTGTTCCAGTTATTGACCAGACCAGGGGCTTTCATTCAGGCAGTAGTCACGAGGAAACAAATGATCCAAATCGGGGGTGAGTAAATGAGCACAACCAGGAACCAGAGAGACATTACTGGCATCAGGAGAACCAGTAGGGTGAGAGTCAATGACATGATTTGGCCACCAGCTTTCACATATTCTGAAAGAAAGAGGCACAGTTATCAGCTCCTGGTAAAAATTGCCATTTTAAACCACAGATCTAGGGTCAGATTATATTACTCCCAATAAGGGTTGACAGAATATCTGACTCTGCATCTGTTGTTAGGGGCAACTTTTACCAACTCCCAGTTGTCATGACAACAAGCAGGGGACTGGAGAAAATGTATCTGGTGTATTCAAGTGATAAGATACAGCTGGAAGAAATACTGGCAATGTATTTCTGACCACCAGGAATCCCACTGAATTATTTAATCCGTAAACCCCATCGCGGCCGAACATGTAGACCACAGTTCAAATGTGTAATTTACGTAAAATATGTCTATACTGCAGAGGCAGTATTATAAAACCAGTTCTTGCTGAGGTCAGGTCACATGACGTCTGTTCACGATACACTGATTGTGTTTACACTACAATTACTGAAGAGATAGTGCTGATGTGGGTGTACCAGTGAGATTTACCCTGCCCCCACCCCCCTATGGACATTTATCATTGTTACAGTTGTAAATATGGATATATTACCATTTGTATTGTCCCATTCACTTCTCTTGACCTGCACTGTTGGAGGTCGGAGCTTAAGAATTTCAATGTACCCTGCAATTACATCTTTGATCCTGTGCATGTGACTAATAAACTCTAGAACAGTGTTGACAGAAGTCAAATCAAGAACATTGAGCAACAGTCAACAGTATGAGAGAGCCAGTGTGTATTACAGCTGTTGATAGTATGATCAGGATAAATAGATACTTAGACACTGGTTTACATAACTACATGAGAACGGGGTGTACCTGCCTGAGGGACAAACTCTTAAATCCTAACAAAATATTTTATTATAGTTAACCTTTGGCTAGGCCTCTCAGGAACTAAAAACAGCACATGGATCAATGTTTGACAACACAACATGCAAAAAACTGAAATAACCTTTTGACTAGATGGCTGTTTCTGCTGTAGTTCTACAGTATGGGGTGGTCTCCATTAAGCCTAGTCCTGTAGTAAAACAGCAAGCTCAATGGAGAATCTCCGTTGAAAGTGCTTTTTAGTCTAGCACTAGGTTAAATCTGTGTCTGGTAATCCACCCCTATATGAGCCAAACGGATTTACCAGTCATAGACCATCATCATCATCATCCAGATGTTTACCTGTCATAGACCATCCTCCTCCTCATCATCATCTGGATGTTTACCTGTCGTAGATGAGTCCATCGATGCCCTGTTCCCGTAGCTTGGTCCTGTTGTCGTGGTCGTTGTTGAGGTCTCCCCAGCAGAACACCACCAGGCCTTTAGACTGGGCCTCTCGGATGTGCTCCAGGTTCTGAAGGAGCTCCTCAGTGTGGGCACTAATACCCTACAGACACACATCAGAGTTGACTGATCCCCTACATTAGCACAGAGATTAGCACAGAGGCTTAGTCAATTAACAGTTCCACCACTCACCAGGAGGTTTTCGCTCTGTGCGAAGCTCATGGCGATCTGTGTGGTGCGACAGCGGATGTCCATGAGCTCAGGGTATTTCTCAGAGATGCCCTGGGTCAAGAACAGGATGGGGTACTTGTTCTGCTTCTGACGAACCCTGGGGGAGAATACAACACTTATGGTTACACTTTACTGTAGCACCCCCTAACGTATGCATTGATAAAGCCTTCATAACACCTACATAAGACATTTGTCATAGGCAGTCATAAACATTTTATTTTTATTTTTTTTCTTCATTTTATTTCACCTTTATTTAACCAGGTAAACCAGTTGAGAACAAGTTCTCATTTACAACTGCGACCTGGCCAAGATAAAGCAAAGCAGTGCGATAAAAACAACAACACAGAGTTACATATGGGGTAAAACAAAACAAAGTCAAAAATACAACAGAAATACATATAATATACAGTGTGCAAATTTAGCAAGTTATGGAGGTAAGGCAATAAAATAGGCTATAGTGCAAAATAATTACAATTTAGTATTAACACTGGAATGATGTGCAAGAGATGATGTGCAAATAGAGATACTGGGGTACAAATGAGCAAAATAAATAACAATATAGGGATGAGGTAGTTGGGCGGGCTAATTTCAGATGGGCTGTGTACAGGTGCAGTGATCGGTAAGGTGCTCTGACAACTGATGCTTAAAGTTAGTGAGGGAGATAAGTGTCTCCAGCTTCAGAGATTTTTGCAATTTGTTCCAGTCATTGGCAGCAGAGAACTGGAAGGAATTGCGGCCAAAGGAGGTGTTGGCTTTGGGGATGACCAGTGAGATATACCCGCTGGAGCGCAGACTACGGGTGGGTGTTGCTATGGTGACCAATGAGCTAAGATAAGGCGGGGATTTGCCTAGCAGTGATTTATAGATGGCCTGGAGCCAGTGGGTTTGGCGACGAATATGTAGTGAGGACCAGCCAACAAGAGCGTACAGGTCACAGTGGTGGGTATTATATGGGGCTTTGGAGACAAAACGGATGGCACTGTGATCGACAACATCCAATTTGCTGAGTAGAGTGTTGGAGGCTATTTTGTAAATGACATCGCCGAAGTCAAGGATCGGTAGGATAGTCAGTTTTACGAGGGCATGTTTGGCAGCATGAGTGAAGGAGGCTTTGTTGCGAAATAGGAAACCGATTCTAGATTTAACTTTGGATTGGAGATTCTTAATGTGAGTCTGGAAGGAGAGTTTACAGTCTAACCAGACACCTAGATATTTGTAGTTGTCCACATACTCTAGGTCAGACCCGTCTAGAGTAGTGATTCTAGTCGGGTGGGCGGGTGCAAGCAGCGTTCGGTTGAAGAGCATGCATTTAGTTTTACTAGTGTTTAAGAGCAGTTGGAGGCTACTGAAGGAGTGTTGTATGGAATTGAAGCTCGTTTGGAGGTTTGTTAACACAGTGTCCAATGAAGGGCCAGATGTATACAAAATGGTGTCGTCTGCGTAGAGGTGGATCTGAGAGTCACCAGCAGCAAGAGCGACGTCATTGATATACACAGAGAAAAGAGTTGGCCCAAGAATTGAACCCTGTGGCACCCCCATAGAGACTGCCATAGGTCCAGACAACAGGCCCTCCGATTTGACACATTGAACTCTATCTGAGAAGTAGTTGGTGAACCAGGCGAGGCAGTCATTTGAGAAACCAAGGCTATTTAGTCTGCCAATAAGAATGCGGTGGTTGACAGAGTCGAAAGCCTTGGCCAGGTCAATGAAAACGGCTGCACAGTACTGTCTATTATCGATCGCGGTTATAATATCGTTTAGGACCTTGAGCGTGGCTGAAGTGCACCCATGACCAGCTCGGAAACCGGATTGCATAGCGGAGAAGGTACGGTGGGATTCGAAATGGTCGGTGATCTGTTTGTTGACTTGGCTTTCAAAAACTTTTGAAAGGCAGGGCAGGATGGATATGGGTCTGTAACAGTTTGTATCTAGAGTGTCACCCCCTTTGAAGAGGGGGATGACCGCGGCAGCTTTCCAATCTCTGGGGATCTCAGACGTTACGAAAGAGAGGTTGAACAGGCTAGTAATAGGGGTTGCGACAATTTCGGCGTCTAGTTTTAGAAAGAAAGGGTCCAGATTGTCTAGCCCAGATGATTTGTAGGGGTCCAGATTTTGCAGCTCTTTTAGAACATCAGCTGTCTGGATTTGTGTGAAGGAGAAGCGGGGGGGGCATGGGCAAGTTGCAGCGGAGGGTGCAGAGCTGGTGGCCGGGGTAGTGGTAGCCAGGTGGAAAGCATGGCCAGCCGTAGCAAAATGCTTGTTGAAATTCTCGATTATTGTAGATTTATCGGTGGTGATAGTGTTTCCTAGCCTCAGTGCAGTGGGCAGCTGGGAGGAAGTGCTCTTATTTTCCATGGACTTTACAGTGTCCCAAAACTTTTTGGAGTTAGTGCTACAGGATGCAAATTTCTGTTTGAAAAAGTTAGCCTTTGCTTTCCTAACTGCTTGTGTATATTGGTTCCTAACTTCCCTGAAAAGTTCCATATCGCGGGGGCTATTTGATGCTAATGCAGTACGCCACAGGATGTTTTTGTGCTGGTCAAGGGCAGTCAAGTCTGAGGAGAACCAGGGGCTATATCTGTTCTTAGTTCTGTATTTTTTGAATGGGGCATGTCTATTTAAGATTGAGAGGAAATTACTTTTAAAGAACAACCAGGCATCCTCTACTGACGGAATGAGATCTATATCCATCCAGGATACCTGGGCCAGGTCAATTAGGAAGGCCTGCTCGCTGAAGTGTTTTTGGGAGCGTTTGACAGTGATGAGGGGTGGTCGTTTGACCGCGGACCCGTTACGGACGCAGGCAATAAGGCAGTGATCGCTGAGATCCTGGTTGAAGACAGCGGAGGTGTATTTAGAGGGTAAGTTAGTCAGGATGATATCTATGAGGGTACCCATGTTTACGGATTTAGGGTTGTACCTGGTAGGTTCGTTGATAATTTGTGTGAGATTGAGGGCATCTAGTTTAGATTGTAGGATGGCCGGGGTGTTAAGCATATCCCAATTTAGGTCACCAAGCAGTACGAACTCTGAGGATAGATGGGGGGGCAATCAATTCACATATGGTGTCCAGGGCACAGCTGGGGGCTGAGGGGGGTCTGTAGCAAGCGGCAACAGTGAGAGATTTATTTCTGGAAAGGTGGATTTTTAGAAGTAGAAGCTCAAACTGTTTGGGCACAGACCTGGATAGTATGATGGAGCTCTGCAGGCTATCTCTACAGTAGATTGCAACTCCACCCCCTTTGGCAGTTCTATCTAGCCGGAAAATGTTATAGTTGGGGATGGAAATGTCAGAATTTTTGGTGGCCTTCCTAAGCCAGGATTCAGACACTGCTAGAACATCAGGGTTGGCGGAGTGTGCTAACGCAGTGAATAACTCAAACTTAGGAAGGAGGCTTCTGATATTTATGTGCAGAAAACCAAGACTTTTACGGTTACAAAAGTCAACAAATGATAGCTCCTGGGGAGTAGGAGTGATACTGGGGGCTGCAGGGCCTGGGTTAGCCTCTACATCACCAGAGGAACAGAGGAGGACTAGAATAAGGATACGACTAAAGGCTTTAAGAACTGGTCTTCTAGTGCGTTGGGTACATAGAATAAAGGGGGCAGTTCTCCGGGCGTTGTAGAAAAGATTCAGGGCATTATGTACAGAAAAGGATATGGAAGGATATGAGTACAGTTCAGGTAACCCTAAGCGTTGGGTAACAATGAAAGAGATAGCGTCATTGGAGGCATCGATTGAGCCGGTCTCGGCGTGTATGGGGGGAGGAACAAAGGAACTATATGAGGCAGTTTGAGAGGGACTAGGGGTTCTACATTGAAATTGTATAATAAGAACTAACCCAAACAGCAATAGGCAAGGCATAATTGACATGGGAGAGAGGCATAAAGCAGTCACATGTGTTATTAGAGAGAGCTAAGACACAACTGGAAATAGCGATAACGTTTGGGCTAAGACTAAACAGAATAAACAGGACAGGGTACCGTGTAAAGGAACAGACCAGCAGGCATCAGCTGTGCAGCTGAGTGATCATAAGGTCCAGTGAACAGCAATATGTGAGTCCGAGAGCAGTTCAAATTGGTGCTTCAGCACAGCTAGCAGGGAGCACAGTTGTAGTTTGCGTGTGCTAGCGGGCCGGGGCTGGCAGATGGATCTTCGTGGTCGTCGCAACGGGAAGCCTGTTGAAACCACATCAGACTATTTCGTCGGCAAACCAGTCGTGTTGGATCGGCGGGGCTCAGTGTCAACACTAGGAGGTCCCGTCCGGTTGACAGAGAGGTAGATAGCCGGGAGATGGGCCTGAGGCTAGCTCAAGGCTAACTGGTGCTTGCTATAGGGCAATGGTAATGGTAATCAGCCAACAACAGGTTGCAGCTAGCTAGCTGGTTGTGATGATCCGGCGCTAGGGTCCAGTGATTCCGGCAGAAAGTCCAATAAGCTCTGGGTCGATAGCACGCTGGGTCGATAGCACGCTGTGCAGACTGGCCGACGAATTGTCCAGGCTAGAGCTAGAGCTGGCTGGTGGATAGTGTAGGCCACGGACAATGGTGAAGACGCTAACGGTGACTAATAACAGGTAGCCACTATTTTCAGCTTACGGTTCTTGATGAAAGTTATAAAGAAATAATAGAATCCTTTCCACGTTGGGTGAGGCGGGTTGCAGAAAAGTATATTTAGTTAAAGAATGGAAGTAAAAAATTGAGAAATATAGACAAAAAAAACAAGAAACTGGATATTTACACAGGACGAAAAATAAAAGCGACCGCACTGCTACGCCATCTTGGAACAAAATGCACACATACAACATACATATTACAACTATGTAAACTAGGCTTCAGTTCAGCAGGTTAACACCGTCCTTCAGTCGCACCAACAACTGTTGGATAACTGGTCGATAAGTAGTGCTTACATGGTGCAGACATCAGGGTCGAAGCAGGAGAAGACGATGCGTCTCTTGCCGGCTCTCTGCAGCACACAGGTCAGTATGATGTCCAGGAACAGGTTCATGTTGAAGTAGGATGACAGGTTTCCTTCCCACGAACCATCCTGTTGTAGACAATACCACAACAGTCCAATGTGAGAAGAGTTGTTACTATCTGACCATGATTGGATAGTTAAAAGTACAAAGCGTTCCTATTTGACTTGAACCACAAGCCCTAACCCTAAAAGTACAAATAGGTAATGTACGTGCTCATTGGTTCAGCCACTTAGGTACTTTCTAGCATGGCCATCTAGTGACTTCCCATCTCCAGTATCACTGACTGGCTGTACCTACCTTCATCTGACAAACCCACTTCAGCTCGATGTTGAAGCCCACATTTTCAGGCACTGCTTGGAATATCTGGAACATGACATAGGGAATCAGTTATAATAGGACATAGAACCTCAAGGTTGGGATAGGCTAGTTCAAAAAGATCACCAAATATCCCCATCTTATGGTAACCTCGACAGCGATGACGACGACTAGGAGGTTATTTACCTGTGAGAATGAAGGGAAGGGCTGATGCTCGTCAACCTCTTCCTCTTCATCATCATCTAAGAAACACAGTGGGAGTAAACCATGCACTTCACAAATAGGCCGATACACAGTTCAGCAGCTGCTCTGATGGTTCACGTTCAACTGCTTTAAAACAATGATGCAAGCAGCGGACATACAGTGGGGAGAACAAGTGTTTGATACACTGCCGATTTTGCAGGTTTTCCTACTTACAAAGCATGTAGAGGTCTGTAATTTTTATCATAGGTACACTTCAACTGTGAGAGACGGAATCTAAAACAAAAATCCAGAAAAATCACATTGTATGATTTTTAAGTAATTAATTTGCATTTTATTGCATGACATAAGTATTTGATACATCAGAAAATAAGAACTTAATATTTGGTACAGAAACCTATGTTTGCAATTACAGAGATCATACATTTCCTGTAGGTCTTGACCAGGTTTGCACACACTGCAGCAGGGATTTTGGCCCACTCCTCCATACAGACCGTCCCCAGTGGATAAAGGTTGCTCTGGCTGTGTGTTTCAGGTCGTTGTCATGCTGGAAGACCCAGCCACGACCCATCTTCAATGCTCTTACTGAGGGAAGGAGGTTGTTGGCCAAGATCTCGCGATACATGGCCCCATCCATCCTCCCCTCAATATGGTGCAGTCGTCATGTCCCCTTTGCAGAAAAGCATCCCCAAAGAATGTTGTTTCCACCTCCATGCTTCACGGTTGGGATGGTGTTCTTGGGGTTGTACTCATCCTTCTTCCTCCAAACACAGCGAGTGGAGTTTAGACCAAAAAGCTCTATTTTTGTCTCATCAGACCACATGACCTTCTCCCATTCCTCCTCTGGATCATCCAGATTGTCATTGGCAAACTTCAGACGCGCCTGGACATGCGCTGGCTTGAGCAGGGGGACCTTGCGTGCACTGCAGGATTTTAATCCATGACGGCGTAGTGTGTTACTAATGGTTTTCTTTGAGACTGTGGTCCCAGCTCTCTTCAGGTCATTGACCAGGTCCTGCCGTGTAGTTCTGGGCTGATCCCTCACCTTCCTCATGATCATTGATGCCCCACGAGATGAGATCTTGCATGGAGCCCCAGACCGAGGGTGATTGACTGTTATCTTGAACTTCTTCAATTTTCTAATAATTGCGCCAACAGTTGTTGCCTTCTCACCAAGCTGCTTGCCTATTGTCCTGTAGCCCATCCCAGCCTTGTGCCGGTCTACAATTTTATCCCTGATGTCCTTACACAGCTCTCTGGTCTTGGCCATTGTGGAGAGGTTGGAGTCTGTTTGATTGAGTGTGTGGACTCAGGTGTCTTTTATACAGGTAACGAGTTCAAACAGGTGCAGTTAATACAGGTAATGAGTGGAGAACAGTAGGGCTTCTTAAAAGAAAAACTAACAGGTCTGTGAGAGCCAGAATTCTTACTGGTTGGTAGGTGATCAAATACTTATGTCATGCAATAAAATGCAAATTAATTACTTAAAGATCATACAATGTGATTTTCTGGATTTTTAGATTCCGTCTCTCACAGTTTAAGTGTACCTATGATAAAATTACAGACCTCTACATGCTTTGTAAGTAGGAAAACCTGCAAAATCGGCAGTGTATCAAATACTTGTTCTCCCCACTGTAGGTTTGTTCTTCACAGAATGGCACCGGAGGAGATGGCGGCATTTTACGGGCTCCTAACCAATTGTGGTATTGTTTGTGTTTTTTCACGTTATTTGTAACTTATTTTGTACATAATGTTTCTGCCACCGTCTCTTATGACCGAAAAGAGCTTCTGGATATCAGGACAGCGATTACTCACCTCGTATTGAACAAAGATTTTTTCTTTAACGAGTCGGACGCAATGGATTTTCTTCAAACACCCGACAAGGCCCAAATCCCCGTCATTCGCATGAGAAAGAGACTGAGATATCGGGGACGTAGGTCGGGGTGCCTTGTAAGGATCCGACGGCGAGTGGGTAATCTGCCTCTACCATCAGTCCTATTAGCCAACGTACAATCATTGGATAACAAAATAGACTAAATACGATCATGGATATCCTACCAACGGGACATAAAAAACTGTAATGTTTTATGTTTCACAGAGTCGTGGCTGAATGACGACATGGATAACCTACACCTGGCAGGATACAGTGAGGGGAAAAACGTATTTGATCCCCTGCTGATTTTGTACGTTTGCCCACTGACAAAGAAATGATCAGTCTATAATTTTAATGGTAGGTTTATTTGAACAGTGAGAGACAGAATAACAACAACAAAATCCAGAAAAACACATGTCAAAAAATGTTATAAATTGATTTGCATTTGAATGAGGGAAATAAGTATTTGACCCCTCTGTAAAACATGACTTAATACTTGGTGGCAAAACCCTTGTTGGCAATCACAGAGGTCAGACGTTTCTTGTAGTTGGCCAGCAGGTTTGCACACATCTCAGGAGGGATTTTGTCCCACTCCTTTTTGCAGATCTTCTCCAAGTCATTAAGGTTTCGAGGCTGACGTTTGGCAACTCGAACCTTCATCTCCCTCCACAGATTTTCTATGGGATTAAGGTCTGGACACTGGCTAGGCCACTCCAGGACCTTAATGTGCTTCTTCTTGAGCCACTCCTTTGTTGCCTTGGCCGTGTGTTTTGGGTCATTGTCATGCTGGAATACCCATCCACAAACCATTTTCAATGCCCTGGCTGAGGGAAGGAGGTTCTCACCCAAGATTTGACAGTACATGGCCCCGTCCATCGTCCCTTTGATGCGGTGAAGTTGTCCTGTCCCCTTAGCAGAAAAACACCCCCAAAGCATAATGTTTCCACCTCCATGTTCTTGGGGTCATAGGCAGCATTCCTCCACCTCCAAACACGGCGAGTTGAGTTGATGCCAAAGAGCTCGATTTTGGTCTCATCTGACCACAACACTTTCACCCAGTTCTCCTCTGAATCATTCAGGTGTTCATTGGCAAACTTCAGACGGGCCTGTATATGTGCTTTCTTGAGCAGGGGGACCTTGCGGGCGCTGCAGGATTTCAGACCTTCACGGCGTAGTGTGTTACCAATTGTTTTCTTGGTGACTATGGTCCCAGCTGCCTTGAGATCATTGACAAGATCCTCCCGTGTAGTTCTGGGCTGATTCCTCACCGTTCTCATGATCATTGCAACTCCCCGAGGTGAGATCTTGCATGGAGCCCCAGGCCGAGGGAGATTGACAGTTATTTTGTGTTTCTTCCATTTGCGAATAATCGCACCAACTGTTGTCATCTTCTCACCAAGCTGCTTGGCGATGGTCTTGTAGCCCATTCCAGCCTTGTGTAGGTCTACAATCTTGTCCCTGACATCCTTGGAGAGCTCTTTGGTCTTGGCCATGGTGGAGAGTTTGGAATCTGATTGATTGCTTCTGTGGACAGGTGTCTTTTATACAGGTAACAAACTGAGATTAGGAGCACTCCCTTTAAGAGTGTGCTCCTAATCTCAGCTCGTTACCTGTATAAAAGACACCTGGGAGCCAGAAAACTTTGTGATTGAGAGGGGGTCAAATACTTATTTCCCTCATTAAAATGCAAATCAATTTATAACATTTTTGACATGCGTTTTTCTGGATTTCTTTGTTGTTATTCTGTCTCTCACTGTTCAAATAAACCTACCATTAAAATTATAGACTGATCATTTCTTTGTCAGTGGGCAAACGTACAAAATCAGCAGGGGATCAAATACTTTTTTCCCTCACTGTATATGCTGCATCGGCAAGATAGAACAGCTGCCTCCGGTAAGACAAGGGGTGGCAGTCTGTGTATATTTGTAAACAACAGCTGGTGCACGAAATCTAGTATTAAGGAAGTCTCAAGGATTTGCTCGCCTGAGGTAGAGTATCTCATGATAAGCTGTAGACCACACTATTTACCAAGAGAGTTTATCTATATTTTTCGAAGCTGTCTATTGTCTACAAACCGATGCTGGCACTAAGACCACACTCAATGAGCTGTATAAGGCCAAAAGCAAACAGGAAAACGCTCATCCAGAGGCGGCGCTCCTAGTGGCCGGGGACCTTAATGCAGGGAAACTTAAATCCATTTTACCTCATTTCTACCAGCATGTTAAATGTGCAACCAGAGAAAAAATAAAATAGACTTTACTCCACACACAGACCCGTACAAACTGTTACAGACCTATATCCATCCTGCCCTGCCTTTCGAAAGTTTTCGAAAGCCAGGTTAACAAACAGATCACCGACCATTTCGAATCCCACCGTACCTTCTCTGCTATGCAATCCGGTTTCCCAGCTGGTCATGGGTGCACCTCAGCCACGCTCAAGGTCCTAAACAATATTATAACCGGGATCGATAATAGACAGTACTGTGCAGCAGTCTTCATCGACCTGGCCAAGGCTTTCGACTCTGTCAACCACCGCATTCTTATTGGCAGACTAAATAGCCTTGGTTTCTCAAATGACTGCCTCGCCTGGTTCACCAACTACTTCTCAGAGTTCAATGTGTCAAATCGGAGGGCCTGTTGTCTGGACCTATGGCAGTCTCTATGGGGGTGCCACAGGGTTCAATTCTTGGGCCGACTCTTTTCTCTGTGTATATCAATGATGTCGCTCTTGCTGCTGGTGACTCTCAGATCCACCTCTACGCAGACAACACCATTTTGTATACATCTGGCCCTTCATTGGACACTGTGTTAACAAACCTCCAAACGAGCTGCAATGCCATACAACACTCCTTCAGTAGCCTCCAACTGCTCTTAAACACTAGTAAAACTAAATGCATGCTCTTCAACCGAACGCTGCTGGCACCCGCCCACCCGACTAGAATCACTACTCTAGACAGGTCTGACCTAGAGTACGTGGACAACTACAAATACCTAGGTGTCTGGTTAGACTGTAAATTCTCCATCAAGACTCACATTAAGAATCTCCAATCAAAAGTTAGATCTAGAATCGGCTTCCTATTTTGCAACAAAGCCTCCTTCACTCATGCTGCCAAACATGCCCTCGTAAAACGGACTATCCTACCGATCATTGACTTCGGCGATGTCATTTACAAAATAGCCTCCAACACTCTACTCAGCAAATTGGATGTAGTCTATCACAGCCAAAGCCCCATATACTACCCACCACTGTGACCTGTATGCTCTTGTTGGCTGGTCCTCACTACATATTCGTCGCCAAACCCACTGGCTCCAGGCCATCTTTAAATCACTGCTAGGCAAATCCCCGCCTTATCTTAGCTCATTGGTCACCATAGCAACACCCACCCGTAGTATGCGCTCCAGCAGGTATATCTCACTGGTCATCCCCAAAGCCAACACCTCCTTTTGCCGCCATTCCTTCCAGATCTCTGCTGCCAATGACTGGAACGAATTGCAAAAATCTCTGAAGCTGGAGACTCTTATCTCCCTCACTAACTTTAAGCATCAGTTGTCAGAGCACCTTACCGATCACTGCACCTGTACACAGGCCATCTGAAATTAGCCCACCCAACTACCTCATCCCCATATTGTTATTTATTTTGCTCATTTGCACCCCAGTATCTTTATTTGCACATCATCTCTTGCACATCTTATCTTTCCAGTGTTAATACTAATTGTAATTATTTTGCACTATAGCCTATTTATTGCCTTACCTCCATAACTTGCTACATTTGCACACACTGTATATATATATTTTCTGTTGTATTTTTTACTTTGTTTTGTTTTACCCCATATGTAACTCTGTTGTTGTTTTTAATCGCACTGCTTTGCTTTATTTGACCTTTTTTTTCATTTATTTTTTTCATTTTTAGTCATTTAGCAGATACTCTTATCCAGAGCGACTTACATGAGCAATTAGGGTTAAGTGCCTTGCTCAAGGGCACATTGACAGATTTTTCACCTGGTCGGCTCAGGGATTGGAACCGGCGACCTCTTGGTTGCTGGCACAGCATGTAAAATAAAAATAAAGTAAAGTAAAAAAAACAAAGCTCTCCCTCGCCATTTGACAAATCTGACCATAACTCCATCCTCCTGATTCCTGCTTACAAGCAGAAACTAAAGCAGGAAGCACCAGTGACTCAGTCAATAAAGAAGTGGTCAGATGACGCAGATGCTAAGCTACAGGACTGTTTTGCTAGCCCAGACTAGAATATGTTCCAGGATTCTTCCGATGGCATTGAGGAGTACACCACATCAGTCACTGGCTTCATTGACCGTACGTACATACCCCAACCAGAAGCCATGGATTACAGGCAACATCCGAACTGAGCTAAAGGGTAGAGCTGCCGCTTTCAAGGAGCGGGACTCTAACCCGGAAGCTTATAAGAAATCCTGCTATGCCCTCCGACGAACAATCAAATAGGCAAAGCGTCAATACAGGATTAAGATTGAATCCTACAACACCGGCACCGACGCTCGTCGGATGTGGCAGGGCTTGCAAACTATTACAGACTACAAAAAGGGAAGCACAGCCACGAGCTGCCCAGTGACACGAGCTAAATTACTTCTATGCTCGCGTCGAGGCAAGCAACACTAAACAAAGCATGAGAGCATCAGCTTTTCCGGACGACTGTGTGATCACGCTCTCCGTAGCTGATGTGAGTAAGACTTTTAAGCAGGTCAACATTCACAAGGCCGCAGGGCCAGACGGATTACAAGGACTCCGAGCATGCGCTGATCAACTGGCAAGTGTTTTCAACCTGTCCCTGACTGAGTCTATAATACCAACATGTTTCAAGCAGACCACCATAGTCCCCGTGCCCAAGAACACATCTGTAGCCATGAAGTGCTTTGAAAGGCTGGTCATGGCTCACATCAACAGCATTATCCCAGAAACCCTAGACCCACTACAATTTGCATACTGCCCCAACAGATCCACAGATGATGCAATCTCTATTGCCCTCCACACTGCCCTTTCCCACATGGACAAAAGGAACACCTACGTGAGAATGCTCTTCATTGACTATAGCTCAGCGTTCAACACCATAGTGCCCTCAAAGCTCATCACTAAGCTAAGGATCCTGGGACTAAACACCTCCCTCCGCCACTGGATCCTGGACCTCCTGACGTGGTAAGGGTAGGTAACAACACATCTGCCACGCTGATCCTCAACACGGGGGCCCCTCAGGAGTGCATGCTCAGTCCCCTCCTGTACTCTCTGTTCACCCATGACTGCATGGCCAGGCACGACTCAAAACACCATCATTAAGTTTGCCGACGACACAACAGTGGTAGGCCTGATCACCGACAACGATGAGACAGCCTATAGGGAGGAGGTCAGAGACCTGGCCGTGTGGTGCCAGGATAACAACCTCTCCCTCAACGTGATCAAGACAAAGGAGATGATTGTGGACTACAGGAAAAAGAGGACCGAGCACACCCCATTCTCATCGACAGGGCTGTAGTGGAGCAGTTTGAGAGCTTCAAGTTCCTTGGTGTCCACATCACCAACAAACTATCATGGTCCAAAGACACAAAGACAGTCGTGAAGAGGGCACGACAAAGCCTATTCCCCCCTCAGGAGACTGAAAAGATTTGGCATGGGTCCTCAGATCCTCAAAAGGTTCTACAGCTGCACCATCGAGAGCATCCTGACTGGTTGCATCACTGCCTTGTATGGCAACGGCTCTGCATTTGACCGCAAGGCACTACAGAGGGTAGCGCGTACGGCCCAGTACATCTCTGGGGCCAAGCTTCCTGCCATCCAGGACCTCTATACCAGACGGTGTCAGAGGAAGACCCTACAAATTATCAAAGACTCCAGCCACCCTAGTCATAGACTGTTCTCTCTGCTACCGCACGGCAAGCGGTACCGGAGCACCAAGTCTAGGTCCAAGAGGCTTCTAAACAGCTTCTACCCCCAAGCCATAAAACTCCTGAACAGCTAATCAAATGGCTACCCGGACTATTTGCATTGTTCCCCCACCCCCTCTTTTACGCTGCTGCTACTCTCTGTTTATTATCTATGCATAGTCACTTTAACTACCTACATGTACATATTACCTCAATTACCTTGACTAACCGGTGCCCACCCCCACATTGACTCTGTACCGGTACCCCTGTATATAGCCTCACTACTGTTATTTTACTGCTTCTCTTTAATTATTTGATATTTTAATTTTTTTGTTATCTATTTTTTACTGTACTTATTTTTCTTAAAACTGCATTGTTGGTTAAGGGCTTGTAAGTAAGCATTTCACTGCAAGGTCTACACCTGTTGTATTCAGCGCATGTGACAAATAAAATGTGATTTGATTATTGCCAGTCTTTTAATCTATAACTTATACAAAAACTATTGCTTTGCAAGGAGGATGAGAGCACTGTTTGCAATAAGGATAAATAATATATGTGGTGGGTATTGTAGTGAATGAAATAGAAAAAAATACACTATACCTTTGTGGTCGTTCACCTTCAAGGAAGAAGCATGGCCCAACTGTTCAAACACAAAACCAAGTCATCTTTCACATCATCTCATATAGGCCTACTCCTAAATAGTATGGGATAAACCACAGTCTACATTACTAAAAATACATATTAACATATTTCAAGGACTGGCTGGCGTCTGAGTTTATTAACTAGTCTGAGTTTATTAACTAGTAAAGGCTAGCTGTAGTTAGAATAGCTTTTACCTTGAGCTGTTGTAGCTGGTTGTATGTGAGGTCTTTGACTGGAACTTCAAACAGCTCCAGAGAGTGCTTGTCTCCTTTCTGACAGGAGGAAGAGAGGAAAATAAAATCCAAAAGTAAGGATGCTGTACAGGGTGCACCCGATAGTATTGTTAAAACAGACAGGATTTATGTTGTTGTCTTTTACCTTCTTAGTGGAGATGCAGCAAGTGAGATCGTGGTACACGATGGGGACACAGTCCTTGGAGAGATGGACGTCAAACTCTACATAGGCAGCCCCCTGCAGAAACATAACACACATGCAGTCAACTCTGATGTGAAACCAGATCAGATACATTTTCAGGCGTTTTACATTTTGTAGGAATACTCACATGATTGGCAGCACTTTTAAACGAGGCAATGGTGTTCTCCCTAACTTTGGTATGTCTGAAAATCAAAGAGAACCAATGACAAAGGCATCCAATGTACAGTATAACACAGATACCAAACCAATCTTGACAAGCATGAAGTGTATGGTCAGACTACTAGTTAATGATTTGCATTATGACACACAGCTTCTGGCTGAGATTCAGAGGCACTGTTTTCCCAGTACAGTGACATGGCAAGAAACCAGAAAGAACAATGTCTTTGTTGTTGTTGTCCGTTGACCTCGACTTCCTCTGTTGATGTCTGACTGAGCATGTCCTAACTTGCACTGAAACTTTGAAGCCATACAGGACAGAACAGGACAATTGCATTCAATTCAATAAACAGAGTATGAAAGGGACTTTGTGTTGTTATTGAGTAGAGTCCTGCTTCAACGCACACACAGACCATCATTTAAGAATTCCTCTTAGGTACATCAACACCTAATAATCAATTATGTTGTGTGTGTGTGTGTGTGTGTGTCTCACTTGGCTGCGTGTGTGCTGCCAGCCCCTCTGTGGCCTACGTCCAGGGGGGCACTCCTCTTCCTCCAGTACTTTGTGAAGGAGGAGCTCATGTCACACTGTAGTCCCTCGATAGGACGGATCACCAGGTAGTCCACTGGAATAGAAAAATACATGATTTTACATTATTATAAGATGTTTTAAAAGGTGAATTGTACTCCTTAATTTACTTTAATCTGACTTGTATTTTTACCAGGGAAACATCTTAGCTAACCCTCTGGCCCCAAGTCATCTAATCCTGCATTTACATTCTAGTTCCTGTTTTGACCCATTTCCCATCCTGTTTGACAGTTACAGCGCCATCGGAAAGTATTCAGACCCCTTGACTTTTTCCATATTTTGTTACGTTACACCCTTATTCAAAAATTGAATTGTTTCCCCCCCCCCCGCCCTCAGCAATCTACACACAATACCCCATAATGACAAATCAAAAACAGGTTATAATATTTTGCTATTTTGAAACCTGAAATATCACCTTTACATAAGTATTCAGTACTTTGTTGAAGCACCTTTGGCAGCGATTACAGCATCGAGTCTTCTTGGGTATGACGCTACAAGCTTGGCACACCTGTACATGGGGAGTTTCTCCCATTCTTCTCTGCAGATCCTCTCAAGTTCTGTCAGGTTGGATGGGGAGCGTTGCTGCACAGCTATTTTCGGTTCAAGTCCGGGCTCTGGCTGGGTGACTCAAGGACATTCAGAGACTTGTCCCGAAGCCACTCCTGCATTGTCTTGGCTGTGTGCTTAAGGTGGTTGTCCTGTTGGAAGTTGAACCTTCACCCCAGTCTGAGGTCCTGAGCGCTCTGGAGCAGGTTTTCATCAAGGATCTATCTGTACTTGCTCTGTTCATCTTTGCCTCAATCATGACTAGTCTCCCAGTCCCTGACGCTGAAAAACATCCCCACAGCATGATGCTGCCACCACGATGCTGCCACCACCATGCTTCACCACGTATGGATGGTGCCAGGTTTCCTCCAGACGTGGCGATTGGCATTCAGGCCAAAGAGTTCCATCTTGGTTTCATCAGACCAGAGTATCTTGTTTCTCATGGTCTGAGAGTCTTTAGGTGCCTTTTGGCAAACTCCAAGGGGCTGTCATGTGCCTTTTACTGAGGAGTGGCTTCCGTCTTGGTTTATGCTCTGACATACACTGTCAAATGTGGGACCTTACATTGACAGGTGTGTGCCTTTCCAAATCATGTCCAATCAATTGAATTTACCACAGGTGGACTCCAATCAAGTTGTAGAAACATCTCAAGGATTATCAGGATGCACCTGAGCTCAATTTCAATAAGTCCTGCTGTATCCGAACCAAGTTTTCTGCAAATCTCCCATTGATATCAATACTTGATTTACAAAGAGTTTACATGGGTGTCAAGTAACTGAGTTTTTATTATAAAACATTTAAAAAAACATTACTAGACCATTTGTTGTCTGAGGGGTAGGGTTGCTCACCTCTGACTTTGCCCAGGGTCTGTCTGGAGTTGCGTTTCATGATGGGCAGAGTGACCACACCTGTGTCCTTGCCACTTTCCACAAAGAATGAGGAGAGAAGGCAGGCCGTACCCACGGTCCCCGGGTGGGCATCCCCTGGCACCACATGCTCACCCATGTCCTCCTGTTGATGAGGGGAGGAAAGGGTTAATACACTCACTCTGTACTGTATACACATACAGGGTCTGATACAGACTCTGGTAAAACACTGATTTGGGAGTACAGTTACAACACGAAAACCAGTTTCTCTAGTTCATAATAGTCAACTGGGGTGAACTGTACCTCAAAGAAGTCGAAGGTGAGTTCTAGGTTGTCAGGGTCCATGGTGTGGATGATGTACTCTGTCCACTGTGAGGCCTCCAGGGCGTAGCCACACTCAGGCTGGGAGTGGCGGGACTTGTATCCATCTCCACTGATCATACTGGTCTCCAGCGTGGTGGTCATCTTGTGCCACGCCACCGCGCTCTGCTCCTGCTCTTCATCCTCCTCCTCCTCCTCTTCTACACCTTCCAGTGTCAGCTTGATCCTGGGGTTAGGGGGGAAAGGTCACAGGTCAGAGGTCAAAGTAGGAAAGGTTTGAAACCTTACAAGCCTGACTAGTAAGTCATGAATTTGAACAGATGGACTACAGTTGTGGTCAAAAGTTGAGAATGACACAAATATTAATTTTCACAAAGTCTGCTGCCTCAGTTTTTACATTTATGATGGCAATTTGCATATACTCCAGAATGTTATGAAGAGTGATCAGATGAATTGCAAAGTCCCTCTTTGCCATGAAAATGAACTTAATCCCAAAAAAACATTTCCACTGCATTTCAGCACTGCCACAAAAGGACCAGCTGACATCATGTCACTGATTCTCTCGTTAACAGAGGTGAGAGTGTTGACGAGGACAAGGCTGGAGATCACTCTGTCATGCTGATTGATTTAGAATAACAGACTGGAAGCTTTAAAAGGAGGGTGGTGCTTGAAATCATTGTTCTTCCTCTGTTAACCATGGTTACCTGCAAGGAAACACGTGCCGTCATCATTGCTTTGCACAAAAAGGGCATCACAGGCAAGGATATTGCTGCTAGTAAGATTGCACCTAAATCAACCATTTATCGGATCATCATGAACTTCAAGGAGAGAGGTTCAATTGTTGTGAAGAAGGCTTCAGGGCGCCCAAGAAAGTCCAGCAAACGCCAGGACAGTCTCCTAAAGTTGATTCAGCTGCGGGATCAGGCACCACCAGTGCAGAGCTTGCTCAGGAATGGCAGCAGGCAGGTGTGAGTGCATCTGCACGCACAGTGAGGCGAAGACTTTGAGGATGGCTTGGTGTCAAGGGCGGCAAAGAAGCCACTTCTCTCCAGGAAAAACATCAGGGACAGACTGATATTCTGCAAAAGGTACAGGGATTGGACTGCTGAGGACTGGGGTGAAGTCATTTTCTCTGATGAATCCCCTTTCCGATTGTTTAGGGCAGGGGTGTCAAACGTACGGCCCGCGGGCCGGATCAGGCCCGCAAACGGGTTTAATCCGGCCCGCGAGATGATAAAAAACAAAACAAAAAAAACAACAAACATTTTAAGTATAAAAATGCGCTGCAATTTTTCAATAAAATAAACTGCTGTTCCAATTGCGTCCACTGGATGGCGCAATAGCAATTGTGTTAAGCAAGCAAACTGTTTATACCGGGGCAGAGCAAGTAGGTCAAGCACGTGCAGCCAATGAGCTACTTTGTTTTGCCCACGATATTTATTACAGCTTCTACTTTTAACATTATGTGCTTTGGCACCCTCATTGCCCCAATATGTCTCTGTCAAAAAAGAGAAAAGTGGACGCAGAGTGCAGAGTGTTCCAAGAAAAATGGTCATCCTATTTAATCACGGAATTGAATGGGAAAGCTGTATGTTTGGTGTGTTCAGAGCATGTTGCAGTGCTGAAAGAATATAACCTTCGTCGCCACTATGTGAGTCTTCATGCCGACAAATATGACAACTTTCAAGGACAGCGGAAATGAGAGAAGGTGAATGAACTGTTGGCGGGTCTGAAGAAACAGCAGTCTGTGTTTACTCACAGCCGAGACATCAGTGACGCTGCAGTGAAAGCTAGCTACCTCATTGCTAATGAAATCGCAGTGGCTTCAAAACCATTTAGTGAGGGTGAATTTGTAAAAACATGCATGATGAAGGCAGCGGAGATTGTGTGCCCTGAAAAGCGGCAGGCTTTTGCAAATATCAGCCTGACAAGAAACACAGTTGCAGACAGGATTTCCGATCTTTCAGTGGATTTGGACAGCCAGTTGAAGCAAAAAGTAAAGTCATTGATTGCATTTTCGGTTGCAATTGATGAAAGCACGGACATTACAGATGTTGCACAACTGGCCATTTTTTCATCCGCGGAGTTGATGACACATTGACCGTCACCGAGGAGTTAGTGGAGTTGGTGCCGATGACAGATACAACGACAGCAGCTGATATTTTTACCGCACTCGTCGGCGCGCTGGACAGGGTCGGAGTGGACTGGTCCCGCGCTGTCAGCCTGGCTACAGATGGTGCGCCCTCAATGATCGGGAAAAAAGCAGGCGTTGTGACAAAGTTCAGAGAGAAAGTGCAATCTGCAAATGGAGGATGTGATTTTTTGACTTTTCACTGTATTTTGCACCAGGAGGCTTTGTGTTGCAAGTCATTAAAGATGGATAACGTCATGAAGGTGGTCATCCAAACTGTTAATTTCATCCGATCCAGAAGCCTGAATCACCGTCAGTTTGACAGCCTTCTCAGAGAGAAAGACCACATCTATGGCCTGCCATACCACACTGAGGTAAGATGGTTAAGCCGAGGTGCTGTGCTGAGGCGTTTCTTTGATTTACGAGAAGAAATTGAACAGTTCATGGAAGAAAAGGGCAAACCAGTGTTAGAATTTCATTCCGCAGAATGGATGCCGGACCTTGCATTTATGGTGGATGTTACAGAGCACCTGAATAACTTGAACAAACAGCTGCAAGGGCGCAACAAAGTTGTCACGCAGTATTATGACAGCATACGTTCTTTCAAGTTGAAGCTGTCATTGTGGGAGACGCAACTTGCCGGTGGTGATGCAGCTCCCTTCCCCTGTCTGAAACATGTGTGCGCGACCCAACATGTGGCAGACATGAAGCGGTTCAAAGATAAAATAACTGGACTGTTACGGGAGTTTGAGCAACGCTTTCAGATTTATGTTTATATGTTTTTATGTTGATGTGCTATTGTTTTTAATTGATTTTATTTTATTTGTATATTTAACCTATTCTTGACTCTGTGGTTCTTGCACTTGTTTGGGGAACAGGATTTCATTATTTGTATCTACATTTCTGCCTGAGAAATGACACCCTGATTTAGTTCTGTGATCTGTGAAACAGTTCTGTTAATCACTGAGGCATTGTGTGTTTGTGTGTTCTTTTTCTTTAGAATTTTCAAATAAACTTGACGTGTTTTATGATTAATAGTGATGTTGTGCTTGTACTATTTTGGACACACTGTCCTCAGGCTCCAACTTTATGTTGTATGTTGATCGTATTAAAACAAAGAAAACAATCTGAAGTTGTTGTTTTTAAGTTATATATATATATATATATATACCATGATTTTTCCGGTCCGGCCCACTTGGGAATAGATTTTCCTCCATGTGGCCCCTGAGCTAAAATGAGTTTGACACCCCTGGTTTAGGGCATCCGGAAAAAAGCTTGTCCGGAGAAGACAAGGTGAGCTCTACCATCAGTCCTGTGTCATGCCAACAGTAAAGTATCCTGAGACCATTCATGTGTGGGGTTGCTTCTCAGCCAAGGGAGTGGTCTCACTCACAATTTTGCCTAAGAACACAGTCATGAATAAAGAATGGTACCAACACATCCAAGAACAGTTTGGTGACGAACAATGCCTTTTCCAGCATGATGGAGCACCTTGCCATAAGGCAAAAGTGATAACTAAGTGGCTCGGGGAACAAAATATTGACATTTTGGGTCCATGGCCAGGAAACTCCCCAGACCTTAATCCCATTGAGAACTTGTGGTCAATCCTCAAGAGGTGGGTGGACAAACAAAACCCCACAAATTTTGACAAACTCCAAGCATTGATTACGCAAGAATGGGCTGCCATCAGTCAGAATGCCAGGGCGGATTGCAGAGGTCTTGAAAAAGAAGGGTCAACACTGCAAATATTGATCTTTGCATAAACTTAACGTAATTGTCAATAAAAGCCTTTGACACTTATGGAATGCTTGTAATTATACTTCTGTATACCATAGTAACATCTGACAAAAATATCTAAACACTGAAGCAGCAAACTTTGTTAAGACCAATACTTGTGTCATTCTCAAAACGTTTGAACACGACTGTAGTGTTCTTATCAATACCTTTACAGGCATTGTCTGCATATTTAAATCAATAAAGATGTAGGTATTTGTTTTAGTGCGATATTTGGTTTGATTCAGTAAGTTATTTTGGGTTAATTTCTATATGCATTTTAGTAAATTCTGGCCCCACAGATTCTCTCTGACCCAAGCCACAGCCTCTTAGATAAGCACTCAGGCAGGAAACAGTGTTGAATATGAGTCGCGTCTCTCTTAGCCTCACCTGAAACGAGACTTCTTATATTTCTTCTTGGTAATGGATACAGGAGACGTCTTTGAGTAGTGCAGACGCAAACGGATTTCTGTCTGGCACGTCAGCCACCCAGAGTCCACACACTGTAAGCCATCTGCAGAAAGGTGTCGCAGTGAAACATGTTGTGGTGAGCGTTCTGGCACAAAATGGCTCCTGTTGTATAACCCAGGTGAGTGTAACAGTACATACAGTGGGGAAAAAAAGTATTTAGTCAGCCACCAATTGTGCAAGTTCTCCCACTTAAAAAGATGAGAGAGGCCTTTAATTTTCATCATAGGTACACGTCAACTATGACAGACAAATTGAGAATTTTTTTTTCAGAAAATCACATTGTAGGATTTTTTATGAATTTATTTGCAAATTATGGTGGAAAATAAGTATTTGGTCACCTACAAACAAGCAAGAATTCTGGCTCTCACAGACCTGTAACTTCTTCTTTAAGAGGCTCCTCTGTCCTCCACTCGTTACCTGTATTAATGGCACCTGTTTTAACTTGTTATCAGTATAAAAGACACCTGTCCACAACCTCAAACAGTCACACTCCAAACACCACTATGGCCAAGACCAAAGAGCCGTCAAAGGACACCAGAAACAAAATTGTAGACCTGCACCAGGCTGGGAAGACTGAATCTGCAATAGGTAAGCAGCTTGGTTTGAAGAAATCAAATGTGGGAGCAATTATTATGAAATGGAAGACATACAAGACCACTGATAATCTCCATCGATCTGAGGCTCCACGCAAGATCTCACCCCGTGGGGTCAAAATGATCACAAGAACGGTGCGCAAAAGTCCCAGAACCACACGGGGGGACCTAGTGAATGACCTGCAGAGAGCTGGGACCAAAGTAACAAAGCCTACCATCAATAACACACTACGCCGCCAGGGACTCAAATCCTGCAGTGTCCCCCTGCTTAAGCCAGTACATGTCCAGGCCCATCTGAAGTTTGCTAGAGTGCATTTGGATGATCCAGAAGAGGATTGGGAGAATGTCATATGGTCAGAGAAACCAAAATATAACTTTTTGGTATAAACTCAACTCGTCGTGTTTGGAGGACAAAGAATGCTGAGTTGCATCCAAAGAACACCATACCTACTGTGAAGCATGGGGGTGGAAACATCATGCTTTGGGGCTGTTTTTCTGCAAAGGGACCAGGACGACTGATCCGTGTAAAGGAAAGAATGAATGGGGCCATGTATCGTGAGATTTTGAGTGAAAACCTCCTTCCATCAGCAAGGGCATTGAAGATTAAACGTGGCTGGGTCTTTCAGCATGACAATGATCCCAAACACACCGCCCGGGCAATGAAGGAGTGGCTTCGTAAGAAGCATTTCAAGGTCCTGGAGTGGCCTAGCCAGTCTCCAGATCTCAACCCCATAGAAAATTATTGGAGGGAGTTGAAAGTCTGTGTTGCCCAGCGACAGCCCCAAAACATCACTGCTCTAGAGGAGATCTGCATGGAGGAATGGGCCAAAATACCAGCAACAGTGTGTGAAAACCTTGTGAAGACTTACAGAAAACGTTTGACCTGTGTCATTGCCAACAAAGGGTATATAACAAAGTATTGAGAAACTTTTGTTATTGACCAAATACTTATTTTCCACCATCATTTGCAAATAAATTCATTAAAAATCCTACAATGTGATTTTCTGGAAAAATAATTCTCAATTTGTCTGTCATAGTTGACGTGTACCGATGATGAAAATTACAGGCCTCTCTCATCTTTTTAAGTGGGAGAACTTGCACAATTGGTGGCTGACAAAATACTTTTTTTCCCCACTGTATTTGTGGTGGATGAGGTTAGCTATCTGCAAACAACACAAAGCACTTTGAGAAAATTGCTATGGAAATTAAAGCCATTGTTTGAACACAATGTGTAGGATGGGAAAACGCAGTCAAATTCATGTCAGATAGTATGTTTTACCAGATAACTGTAACCTCAAATCTTAGCAGTCTCTAATGGGGAAGTGCTTTACATGTAATCTGTGAAGAGTTCAGTTCCACCAGAGGTTTGAGTCATTCCTCAGGTACTTAGTAGCAGGTTGACGTTTATTGTCATGAATCTTGCCCTGGAGCCAGAACTGAGCAATTTCCACTACATGGGCCAGCTGCAAAATCAAAATTGGCTGTATAGTAAACATTTTAAAACTTAATTTAAGGTAATGGTTAGGCATAAGGTTAGGAGTGTGGTTAAGGTAAGGGTTAGGTTAACCTAGCAGTTAAGAGCGTTGGGCCAGTAACCGAAATTTGACGAACTGACTTGTTGGAAAGTTGGCCTCCTATGACAGTGCCACGTTGAAAGTCACTGAGCTCTTCAGTACGGGCCATTCTACTGCCAATGTTTGTCTATGGAGATTGCATAGCTGTGTGCTCAATTTTATACACCTGTCAGTAACGGGTGTGGCTGAACTAGCCAAATCCACTAATTTGATGGGTGTCAAAGATAATTTCCCAAAATTGATTAAATCAAGATGTGATATATTTAGTTGACTTACTGTTGAATCCAAATTGGCCACTGTCAATATCAAGGTGTGATTCTGCAAGAGAATAAACAGGCATGAGGTCTTATAGAAAACAAACCATATTCATCTAATTTCAAGCATGGGACATAACAGAATAAACTTCCGTACTTCTAAAAGCAACACAAAATAATAATAATTACAATAATAAATAATATAGATTTGATGTTTTAAACCTTGTCCAAAAAGTGTTCGGCTGTAGGTTGAGGGTGAAACTACGGTATATTATATTTGTTCCCATCAAGCTGATTTTGAATGAGCTTTGTCTGTTCTGACACAATGGTGTTTGAGTGGCCACATCCACTACAATGTTCCCTCCACTCTAGGACATTCTAGCTACAACAGCACAACGTGGACTCAAATCAAATTTTATTTGTCACATGCGCCGAACACAACAGGTGCAGAACTAACGGTGAAATGCTTACTTACAAGCCCTTAACCAACAATGCAGTTCAAGAAATAGAGTTAAGAAAATATTTACTAAATAATCTAAAGTAAAAAATAAAATAAAAAGTAACAGTGTCAATGTAAATAGTCTGGGTGGTCATTTGATTAATTGTTCAGCAGTCTTATGGCTGCTGAACACCCTTGCCTCAGCTAAGCATAGAAACATTTCCCAAAGCAAGCCGGACTATACCTGTGGGGCTCATCAGGCGTGGCTGCTGATGGGTCTCCCACTTAGTGACTATCACCTGACAGGGACCACCTGCACTCTGCAATGGCAATGGTTAGTACAGCGTTAAGACAGATACAGTCAACGGTCACTTTGGTCTCCAAAGGTATAGTCACCAATCAGCAAGCCAGTCAGCCACCATTGGTTGATATCTGCAAAGGGGTTCTATTAGTTGGCAGGTGGCAGAACTTTAGCGTAATCTCTTCTACTACACAAACATATTTTGCCATCTTCTCAGAAAGATTCTGAATACTTACTTTAAAACATTTAAGAATTGATGTTTTTTTCTCCGGTCCAACAAAGTTGGTCTACTACAATATTTAAGCAATAAGGCATGAAAACCTGTAGATTATCGTGTGAATAACTCCTGACTAAGGGTTGTTCGAAGGCCCAACGTGGAATGGAGGGTCGGGGAAACAGCCCATAGGAGGGAGTTATTCACGATTTTCAAAACCTAAATCATTTTCTAAAAAGTTATTTTAATTAGTATATTTGTTTTTTTTCATCCTTCCACCAGACGATATAGTCCAAATATATCCAAACGAGCTGGTCGTCCATTCCAAACGTTCTAAGAAAAAAAGGTTGCCATGCAGGCTAGTTACTTCTCCTAGCCAACTAAAGCGAACACACAATCACATCAAGCAGCTGAAATGACAGCAAACGATGTGCATTTTGTTTGTTTTACCTTCGCTTCTTTTGCCATTTCTTTTGATATATCAATTATAATGTTCCAAAAATGAATTTGGCTGGCTCAGAGAAGCTATCAGTCTCGTCACGCTCATTCTCTCTATGGCACAGTGTAGAAACCTGCAACGTTGTTGCACAGATCGGAGAGGCAGGCAGCAAGGTTTAGACAAACCAAATGCTAGCCTAGTGGCATGGGGAAATAATGTCTAGTCACTTTTTTCCAGGGAAGATTAAGTTTATAAATTGCCTGGCTGGGCTGTGGGACAGTGGATGCGCATTGATCATTCTAATGAAACTGTAACAGGCATTACCTGGGGATTGTGGTGAATAACTCCCTGCTATCAACCAATCAGCATCCAGGATCCAAACAACCGGTTTTATAATTGGGATTAAAAACAGCTTAAATCCCAATAAGAACTGAATGTGGTCCTGGTTTTAGGTTTCTGGCCACAGAGACATATTCTGCCCTACCAAGCAAAAAGGCAGTAACTGCTAATTTTGGGCAGTATAGTAAAACGTGTTGTCATTACAGCTGGCCTATCTGAATGTGTGGGCTGAGCTCCACCCATGAGTCAACAAATTATGTTTTCTGACAAGTTAGTAATGCTGCTTGTCCACTGACAGTAATTCAGACCAGGAAGGTCTCACGGGTGTGATAGTGTTACTTCATATCCTACTGTCTGTAGGACACAACAGCCAGACACGGTCTCTCTAGCCGTCTCTCTCTGAAAGAGGAAGAGCTTTAAAAAGGGTGTAATTTGAGCCTCCAAGCTGGCCATGTAGAGAACATTACTGAGTACTGACATTAATAATTGGAATGGTAAAGAACATACTGTGCTTGTGTGTGTCCCAACTTCCAAGTCTAGCATAGCGCAGCATTAAATAACATGGGAGAGGCTCACGTCACGTGCCTAGAGCAGAGCTTAGCTGTGGCCAGCTGGCAGAGCTCCAGGCATGCTCTCCTATCTAAGAGTTATGCAGCAACTGCACAGAGGACAGCTAGAGGGGATCAACACAGATGTGGGGAAAGCGAGCTATATAACCCTTGAATGATCTTAGATCTGCTGTAGCGTAGCTAATTTAATGCTTTCTAATGTTCACTCAAAACATAGACTTACTCATTGACTAATTCGGTCTCACTTGGATTACAGTGGCTCCATAGAAGACAAACTGTGTGTGAATTAAAACATCCTCTAAACAGTTTAGTGTGAAGTACATTACATTTAAATGATATTCAATTTCATAAAACAGATTAGCTGTGAAAATCTAAGCAGCCTCCAGATCTGGAAAGGGGATATAACATGTTGATCACACTGTATATAGGCTATTTATCATCATCAAAAGGAAGGCTTAAGAGCACAACACAATGACTCCTAGTCTGGCTCTAACCTGCTGTTAACGCAATACTGTCAATCATTTGTCAACTGTCACTCAACGGCCAACATGAGATTACCACTAAAGCAACTACTTACGTAACTGGATTATGGTAGAATAATTTTTATAGACCAAACACAATGTATTTTGTTTAATATTACATCATGTTGACAGCACATAAGATGAGGAGCTCACCTTTGACTCCAGGAAGTGTCCTTTGAAATAGCGATAGGTTGACACAGCACCTCTGGGCACACTGATGATCCTCTTCCACAATGTGCTGGGGAAGGAACATAATATGTTTAATTCCTTAAACACCCTGTAGCTATAAACACACACAGAAATAATTCAGATCATAGCATATTCAAAGAGAAAAGTGATATGTACCCATCGTGTTCAGCAGGTTGTAGGATCACCGCTCTCTGATGGCACCAGCCTCCTAAAGCTTCACAGCTACCAACCACAGCTATCACCTCACCTAGTCATACACCATATTATTACGTTCCATTAATGCGCCACACACACCTTGCACGCATAGTCACAAACACCCCCCCCCTCTCATTAGGTTCAAAAGATCAAGGACTTTTTAGCCAAAAGCAAAACTCTCATGGACAGGCTTGTAATCGAGCATCTGACCAAATTAAGCAGGATTTTAGTTCTGAGTTAACTGAGATTAGCTAAAAGATGACATTCCTGACTGACTGTCTGGTTAGTTGTCAATTTTTCTGTCTAAAGTTGTCTTGAATTGAATAGTCTTCTTGTTTCAGATTAGTCTGTTGCCCTGCAGTAGGGGTTGGTCTTACCTGGGGATGTGTCTCCCCTAACTGTCAAAGTCACTTGAGTTGTCTCCATAGTTGACACAGGCACAAACAAGGCCAATTGGAGGTGCACTCAAGCTGGAAAACCAGGAACTTAATGGTAAAACAGGCATAGATTTAGTGGATCAACAAATGTCCAACAAAGCTGTGCTGGGTACTAGCTAGTCATAGCTATGACTATAAAGAGAAGTTCATTGTCATCTCTTCTTCAGATTACATAACATTGTCAAACACTGGAGTTAAATTCTTACTAGCTAGGTCTTCAGAGAACACATTTTATAATTGGAGAACAACAATTACAATTGTTATGTTGAAAATCATCTCTCTTTGCTAGGAACTAACGTTAGTTAAGTTACCTCTTTTAGACTAAATGCATATCTACATACCTTGCTTTTGAGTTATTTGCCAGGGGGTAGACAGCTAACATTAACGTTAGATGGTAGATTCAAGAGAAGCAGTGCTGGCTATTCCATGCTGAAGTATCAGACTGGAATGAACACCGTTCGGTCCAGCTGCGTTGTGCTGTATAAGAAAAAAAATTACCATATCAACCCAACCACTCCGGCACTTTCAACAAGCTAACTACCTAACTAGTTAAGTTACCAGGATAACTAGTATTCGACCGTCCTCATGTTTGAGGTAGCTAACGTTTTTGTCTTTGGCACGATGTAGTTAAATTCAGACCGCCCAATTCCGGAATTCTGGATTTGTCAACAAAACTGACGCTAGTTAGCCATGCTAACAGGCTAACCAGCTGTTTACAGTTAGTTCGCTAGCTTGCCCTTTACAACTAACGTTGGCTAGCTAGCTAATGTAGCCACAAAAGCGTTTTTACTTTCTCTAGCTACAAAACTTAAATAACCATTGTAACTAAACAATATCGTCGCATAAAGCACAGATGGTATCCATTTACCTTTCTCCATCAGCAGGCAGATCTTGTTCGATGTTGTGTATTTGGCATAATTATTAACAATGTCTGTGATGCGTAGCAGTCGTGTTGTCACCAGTGTGAAATTAGCAGCATTAATGATCAGCAACAATAGTGAAATCAGCGTTTAACCTTCAAAATAAAAGTTCCGCATTAAAACTGATGCAACCTGATACAAATAGTGGAATCACCATGCCATAATTGGACTAGATAATGCTAAACAAAAATCAGTACCAGAATTTCTCCTGAGTAGAATAGTCCCCACTTTAATGCAACACAATGTACAGAAAATTGTCAACAGTGTAATATGTAGGCCTATGTTCAATACCCATATCAGATCATCTGGCCGATTGTCCACTCTTTAAGGACCACAATAAGGGCAGCGACGAACCTGGGTGTGTAAACATTGTGGATTTGGATACTGGAGGTGCTGCAGTTGAATGGAGCTCACTTTCACTGCGACATATAGCCTACTGTACAGAAAATTGTCTTACAGTGCATGTTCTACAAGCATTTCAGAGTCAAAATCGGACCGATTTCCCAGTCAAAGTTTTGCAATAAGAGCTACGATTGTGTTCTGTGGGTGTCACTGAGTAGGCTGATACCCCATTTCATGAACCCAAGATTCATAGGTAAACCTACAGTGCATACTGTATGTTCCCGGTGCAATTATGCAGTCCAAAACATACATAGTGCGATTTCAACTAATTTTTACCGTTTATTTTGGTAAAATTAATTAATGATTGTATTTTATAGAATTTATTTAACAACATTCCAAACTTGTTTAGCATGATCTAATCCAATTATGGTATGATTCGTCTACTTGTAACTGCTTGCATCAGTTTCAATGTGGGACTTGTATTTTAAAAAGGCGAACCGCTGATTCCACTATTGTTGCTCATCACTATTGTTGCTCATTTCACACTGGTCTCCTCACCCGCTAGTTTTGCCAGGTTACGTCAGGGGGCCATAACCGGTTCTATTGCTGTGTTCAAAACAAGTGGGAACTCGGAACTGGGAACTCGGAAACTCCGACTTCCGAACTCAGTGCGTTCAAAATAACTGGCAGCTCGGGGAAAAATGATCTCCGACAGGAAAAAAATAGTTTTGAACGGTCATCCAACTCGGAATTCCAAGTCGGGAAATCGGGTTTCTTTCTTGAGCTTCGGCTTTCCGACCTTAAGATCACTGACCTCGTTTTTTTCCAGAGTTCCCAGTTGTCTTGAAAGCACTACTAGTCTGGTTGATGGTCCTGTCAAGACAACTGGGAACTAGGAAAAAAACGAGGTCAAATCATGACGTCAGTGATCTTAAGGTCGGAAAGTCGGAGCTCAAGAAAGATGGCCATTCTCGACTTGGAATTCCGAGTTTGATGACCTTTCAAAATATTTTTCCCAGTCGGAGCTCGTTTGTTTTTCGAGGACCCAGTCAGAGATTTCCGAGTTCCCACTCGTTTTGAATGCGGTATACACCTCTCGAAGGCCTCACAGCTCTCACGTGGGCCGCGTCACGAAGGCTAAACCCCATCATCCAGGATAAACCCGTTCACCCCGGTTCAGCCAAAATTCAACTCCGTTTGATATGCTTGCTTTGCTTCAGCTTCCGTTTGATTTCAGCTATCACTCTCAAATGCAAAAGAAGGAAATTATAAATAAAGATTAAATGAAGACACTGCTTAATAGGCCACTCAATATATTACTGATAGGCCTATCAGCAGCTCTGAAACATCAACATCCCACTACAGCTACGAGGCAGACTATTTACAGTCCCACCAGTGAAGTGTGCCTGTCTCTGCCTGAAGGAGAGCGGGATCAGGTGCTTTTAGGCCAAGCTCAAGTGTCTGTTCCTCAGATGGGATTATTACAGGATCACTGAGAAAAACAAGCTTCTCATGTTCCCTAAATTGTGCAGTATTGCCACAATTTAAACACTTGCCCCCAATCCCCCCTTCCCTAAAACACGTGTAAATATTGGACTATAAATTTAAACTAACACCTCCTGTACTGTGCTACCTGTTATTGTGTTTGTCCATTTAGATTCTAAGTGGGTAAATGACTGTACAGCAATAGTCCCTATGTCATGACGAAAAAATGATGTACCAGCCAAATGAGTTCAGATAATGCTTGCTTAAGGAAAAGACCAGCATGTTTTTCTGAAGTACAGCCTAAGGATGTTATGGAAACCCGTCTTGATTTAGCCTATTGTACAGAGCATTAGTGTTTCTCAGTTGGTAGAGCATGGCGCTTGCAACGCCAGGGTTGTGGGTTCGTTTCCCACGGGGGGCCAGTATGAAAAATGTATGCACTCACTAACTGTAAGTCGCCCTGGATAAGAGCGTCTGCTAAATGACTAAAATGTAAATGTAAATGTTTCTGTCCCTGCATTGCTGGAATACAAAACAGCTATTTATGGGGCAAGATATGTATAGGCTACGGATATGTATACTGTGTAGGTCAGCACACCTTCTAACCATCCATCAATTGCCTGTGTTTCTGACCTCATAAGGTCTCTGTTTATGAGGTTGAACCAGGATCCTGGTTTACAGCCACA